AAAAACCCTGGAATTTGGAAATAAGGAGTCATGATTAATGTTTCGGAGGATAAAGAGAAACCCTTAGACTCTACTTGTGAGAGAATAAATGGGTACATCATTTCCAGAAGCCAAATTGGTTATATGCACCAAATAATTAAAATATTACAGATCTGGAAATTATTCTTCTAGAAATTATACTGATAGACATTTATATAAAAAAGTAATATGGCTATGAGGCTGTTGATCAAAATTTTGGTGAAAATTTGTAAACAGCATAAATATCCAATAGAGAATATTTAATGAGACACAAAGATACTTGTGATTGGTTATAAAGATAAAGAAGCAGGTTACAAAATTGTGTACAACACGATTCCCTTCCCTCCTTTTAAGGGAGGCATATATATAAAGAAAAAAAATGGAAGGATATACTACAAGAATTTTATGATGGCTGTTTCTGGGTGGTAGGATTTGATAATTATAAAATCTCTGTTTTCCCTTCCCCACATGCATTTACCCTCCCTCATTCTTTTGGATTACCTATATTTTCTATAACAACTCTGTCCAATAGAAATATAATGTGTGGCACATATGTAATTTTAAATATTCTAGTAGCCAAATTTAAAAAGTGAAAAGAAAGAGGTAAAAATAATGTTAATAACGTATTTTACTTAACACCAATATATCCCAAATACAGGGGTGGGCAAAAGTAGGATTAGAGTTGTGAGTACACGAAACAGTTTACTCTCATATTACTTATTAATTATTGTATTATTTATTATTATTAATCTTCTTTTGCTCAATCCTGTATTTATCATTATAGCATGTAATCAATACAGAAAATATTAATGATATTTTACATGTTTTTAACACTTAGCCTTCCACATTTAACATTTACAGATCACCTCAGTTTGGGCCATCCACATTTCAAGCACACAATGGCCACATGGCTTTGATATTAGACAGCACAATTCTGTAAAACAATAGCTAACATGTATCAAGAACTTACTATGTGCCAGGCAATGTTCTAAGCCCATTGGGCGGGGATTATAACTCGTTCAATCTCACAATAGCTCCATAAAGTTGTGCTTATTATTGTCCCCACAAGCACAGGTTGCTGTTGTAATAACACCATACAAAAAGCCTGGGAGCTTTTCCAAGCCCTTTTGCTAATGTGATGGTGTGGAAGCCGGTTGCAAAGGCTTATTGACTCAAGGGGAAATGACGGAGTTGGAGAGAGACTAAAACGTATTCAAGAAGCTGGGCTGTGAAGAAGAAAAGTTAACGGAGTGAGGGAAACATGAGGACAGAAGACTTTCTGTAGAGCAGGGAGACATGAAGATGAATGGAGGCTGAAGAGAAAAGAGGGGGATGGAAAGTAACAGGGAGATGGCTGGGGATGTCGTTGGACTAAGCTCTCCGTGAGAGCGAGGGCACTGTTGCATAAACATTGCCTGGGCTATGATGAGGGTCATGATATACGCTACAGCTTCCCAGCTTGGGGGTGGCGAGGGAGGCAGATTGCAGATACAGACAACTCTGTCCTGCTAAACAGAGTGGAGACTGGTGGTGGCGGAAGGGATTTCCTGGGGAGTTGTTGAACTGAATTGTAAAGAACAAAGTTAGCCAGCAAAGAAGCAAAAAGGGAGGGCATTAGACTTGAGAAGTACTTAACTACAAGGTCTGGTGACTGATTGGATGTGGAGGATGAGAGAGAGTGAGGATTTGAGGACCATTCCCAAGTTTCCTGCATGGGCAAAAGGTAGAGACTGTAACATTTACCTATTGCCTCTCTGGAGTCAGGCATTATCCTGTGCACCACATATTCATCTCATTAAATTCTCACAGAGCTCCCATATAATGCTTGCCGTTTCATACATGTGTAAGCTTATTGGCCCCACGTGTCACCATTAGTAAATGGAAGAGTCGGAATTTGAACCCAGGGTTTTGCTGAGATGGAGGAAGGGAGAAAAGTTGATGAGGGGCCAGAGCCAGGATGGGTGGTCCCACAGGGTGAGCAGGTGCCAGTGAAAGGCAAGCCGCCCACATATGTGGGGAGGATAAGGCACTCCAGCAGGAGGAAGGCATGACCAGCCTCTAGTCAGGAACAGACCTGGGCATCCTGGGAGGGAGGTCTGGAAAGGTAGAGAGGAAGGGTTGGGGAACAGAGGTGGGGGAGGGAGCAGCAGGTTTTGGTTAAGGTAGGATCTTGTGAGGAGAAGGGGCATTTGTATACATAATCATGGGGAGGAGGGGGGAGGGGGTGGGTAACAGGAGAGGTGTGATCTCGCAGAGACCCTGAGAAGGGGAGATGGCCTAGGAAGATACTGGGGCCGGTGGGGCATTGATGCTGGATCCAGAACACAGTGGCAGGTTAGAGACCCCCACTGAGGATGACACCTTCTTCTCTTAACCAAAGTCAGGGGAAGCAAGGACAGATGAAGAGGCTCTAAGAAAAGCAAAAACAGAGGAAACCGGATTAGGGATAAATATCTGCAAAGGAAGGAAATTAGGGAACTACAGGAAGACATGAGGAAGAGGCGTCAGGAAAGGAAAAGGAGAGGGAGGATGAAGGTAGAACCCCCCAACATCCAGCACACCCCAACACTTCATCGGACCCCTATGAACGCTCCATCTCGGGAGAGCTGGCTGCAGCTTCAGAGGTGGGGGTGGAATGGGGGTAGGACCTGAGCTAAGTCCAGACCACCGAGACCTCCCAGTGGAAACCACACCATGACCAGACTGGAGTCACTGGTCTTGTGCAATCTGTTTCTTCACCTGCAGAATGGGGTTCATGACAGGTGGCTGGATGTCAAAGTATTTGGAGAGCACCACAGCAGGTAAAGTGTTGCTTTTAATTCTATCGAATTCAAGATGATCATGCATATCCAGAGCCATGGGAAGGAGACGTGGCCGGTCTGTAGATGCGAGTCTAGGAATGGCCTGGTCGGCTCCCAGCTCCTCTACCTGCCCAATTTAGCGAGGTGAGGTCCAAGCCTAGCCTCACCGTGAGGCAGGCGCCGAGCGCCTGCGGCTGGACAGGTGGGGTTCATCTCTGGCTCCGGGCACAAGGTCCTAGGGGCGGATTCAACTCGAACCTTCTCCTTCGCAGCCCCCAGCACTTGGTCTGTGTTCTCAGAGGCCGGGCCCAGGCAGTGCTCATCAAGCGAAACGCGCGTCCAGTCCTGCGGGGAGCTTGCTCTCCTGCATGTCTTTCCAGATAGAACGACACTCTCCTCGTCGGTGCCTCTGCCCAGACCGCACTCCCGCCTTCTTAGTGATGTGTCCTGGTGAGGTCCTCGTCCGCATGGGACGGAGCCTCCCCTTTTCCAGGATCCAGGATGCGGCAGAGGAGGAGGGGGGAAAAAATAGAGGAAAAGTCAGGATGGAGGCGCAGGGAGGCAGGAGAGAGGGGAAATAGAAAGCCCGAGACAAATCCGAGAGAGGAAAGACCTGCACAGAGGGCCAGACAGATCCCGAGAGGCCAGTAAAAGAGACACGAGTGCTCGCCTCGGAGGATTCTGCACGGATTGCTTCCGCAGACGCTTCTGGGCGCCTCCGCGGTGCTCCGTCCTGGCTTCCCAGGACACGAAGGGCTGCAGGGTGCTACGGCTCACCTCCCCCTCTCTCGCTGCTCCCCCCATCCCTCCATCTCGCCCGACGGGGCCGGGACGGCGTCGGCGCGCGGGGGCTTTTCGGAGCAGTCGAGTGGAAAATAGACTTTAACCCGCTTTGTGGCGACCGAGGCGCCCGGAGCGCTCTCCCGGTCCAGGGCTCCCGGCGCTCACAAGGGCCACTCCCAAGTCCCGGCCTGGAGTGCCTGCAGATTCACGGGGCGCGCCGACCCCCTGGCCTCGGGGCGCCCCGAGGCCCAGCCCGGATCTGCGCATCCGGAGCGCAGCGGCCGGGCTGCTCCGACGGACCCCAACGTCGGCGAGGAGGTGGAAGGCGCTGCGGGCCCCATCCCGCACTGTGCCGGCCCGTCCGGGTCTCGGCCCCCTACCGCCGCCCCGCGCCCTCCCAGGCCTCGGCGCGGTGTTTCCTGCGGCCTGGAAGGCCCGGGAGAAAAAGTTTGCGGAGTACGGGTTTTCCAGCCCCCTCGCCCCCGGCGAGATTAATGCACGAAATGGAAACTGGCCAGAGCAGACGCGTCGCTGTTCTGCGGTCCCGGGCTTAAGGTGACGGTCAGGGGAGGCCCAGCGGCCGTTGCGTTCCCGGGACTGTCGGTGTGTCTTCTCGTGGACGGAGACGGCTGCTCAGTCAGCTCCCATTTAGGGCATTGTGCCCGAGGCCCAGACCTGGCCCGGCCCGCCTGCATTTGACCCGAGGCGGCGAGGGAAGCAGCTCGCCCTGCGCCGACGCCGGCGGTCCCTGTGCGAGCCGCCGCGGTGGCGGTGGTTGGGCCAAGAAGATGCTTCCGAGGCCCGCGAACTTCGGCTGCAGGGCTGCAGGGCTGCAGGGCCACAGCTCTGGCGGCTGCTCTCGCGCTGTTCCCGGCCTGGCCCCTTGTGAAAAGAATTGAGCGTCCCTTTTCTGGAGCTGTCCCCCCATGACACCCAGAAAACGCGAAACTCCACGAACAGGGCCGCCCTGGAGACAGTTGGTGGGTAAGCGGGGAGCTGGTTCTTGGTAGAACCTTAAACACCCACTTTCCACTCGTTTCCAAGTTGTCTAAGAACTGAAACAACATCCCGGGACGAATTGGAGAAGGCTCATGAGTTACACACCGGGGAGAGGGGTTGGAGTTTCTCCCAAGTCCCCGGCCCCACGGACGCCTTCTGCTGCTGCTCCTGCGTGGGTTGAGACGTTTGTGGCGGCCGCCAGACTCAGCTAAAGGGCGGAGACCAGAGAAGCCAGCGGCGAGGGGGGAAGGGTGGGGGAAGGGGGGGAAGCCTAGATCGCCCTGCTAATGCTCCAGTCCGGTTTTTGCTTCCGACTGCTGGCTCCTTTTCCCCACCCGCGGTCCCTCGCCCCGCCCCACCCCGCCCCCCACCTTGGGGCAGGTGAGCGGCGGCCAATGGGCGAGCGCGGGGCAGGTGCCGGCTAACTCGCGCCTCACAGCGCCACTGCCGAAGCCTGGCTAGGGCACTGCTGGAGGACCCGGGGCTGGGGTCGGACCTGGCCGGACTCGGGAGGGAGGGGGCCGAGCTCAGCCCCCAGGCCGTGGAGGCAGCTCCCGGCATCACACTGATCCCGCGCCAGTGCACGAGCCGGGAGCTGCTGGCTTGGCGGCCGAGGCCAGCTCGCCTAGCTGTGCGCGGTGGCCCGACTCCGCGTTCCCTGGCTTGCACGCCCCTCGCCGCTCCGTGCCTGGCTCACCCGCAGGGGCTGAGCACGGGAGGGCGGGCGGGGGAGGTGAGGGGTGCTGGTGTGAGTGCATGTGCCTGGCTGGGTGCACACCCCGCACGGCGGCGGCGCCCGCACGCGGAGCGCTCCCCAGAGCCCGGCTGCCTCTCTCGGCTCTGGCGCCCGCGACCATGTTCCAGCCCACAGCCAAGCGCGGCTTTACCATCGAGTCCTTGGTGGCCAAGGACGGCGGCACCGGCGGGGGCAATGGCGGTGGGGGCGCGGGCTCCCACCCCTTGGCCGCGGCCGCCTCGGAGGAGCCACTCCGGCCCACCGCACTCAATTACCCTCACCCCGGCGCGGCCGAGGCGGCCTTCGTCAGCGGCTTCCCCGCCGCCGCCGCCGCGGGCGCCGGCCGCTCGCTTTACGGTGGGCCCGAGCTCGTGTTCCCTGAAGCCATGAACCACCCGGCGCTGACCGTGCACCAGGCGCACCAGCTGGGCGCCTCCCCGCTGCAGCCCCCGCACTCTTTCTTCGGCGCCCAGCACCGGGACCCTCTGCACTTCTACCCCTGGGTTCTGCGGAACCGCTTCTTCGGCCACCGCTTCCAGGGTGAGTGCCCACGCTGTGCCCGCCTAAGCGGCCGGCCAGCGCCCGCGCTGTGGTGGCGCGGGGGAGGCTCGGGGGTGCGCGGGGCTATTCGGAAGTTGTTTCGAGAAGGCTGCGGGTCCTCGGAGGCAGACTCCCAAGCCAAGAGAAGAGCCGCGTCAGACCCATCACGCTTCTGCCGCCTTGGGTTCCCTCCCGGAGAACCAGGTTAGGATGTCCAGGCTTTCCTAGTTATGATGCCGACTGGACGCCAAACCCGGGAGCATCTTTGGAGCCTCTCCCGGCGGCCTGTCTTAATCTCTCCTGGCCGAGCCAGTCCCAGCCCGGAGAGCTCAGTGTCCGCCGCCCTCCCTCCGCCCCGGCTGGATCTGGGACCGTACTCGGCAGTCACGTCCATCACCGATTCCCAGGGATCCGCCCCAGCTGGTCCGTCCAAGCAGGGCAAGGTCCACCCGCGTGCCTCGGGTCTTTGGGAAGAAGGGACCGCGAGCAGGGCAAACTGGAGAGTTAATGTTCAGTATGGCATTCTCTGCCGCCTTGAGATGTTTCTCAGCAACCTCTGCCCGACTTCTCCAAGTCACACGCGCCTCTTGGACCCAGAGTGAGGAAGGTTTGCGATAGCACACCAGCTTCCTCGCCGTTTGCCTACTCTGGGAGCCCACCAGGCTCCTGGGGGGGGGGGGGGGGCGCACTGCGGTCCTCCCAGGCAGGGCGTGGGGGCAAAAAGCTGGTAAGGTTGTGGGCAGTCCGAGCCCCCTGGTCTTCTATGGGCAATGGGTTTGCTAATGAAGATTCTCCCACTGGCCACACACACACACACACACACACACACACACGTTTCAATTGACTTTTCCCAAGGAGAACTGCATTTGTTGGAGTTTGTTTTCTTCCTTTAATTTGTTGGAGTTTTTTCCCTTTTCTTTCTTTCTCTCTTTCTTTTTTTCTTCTTCTTCTTCATCTTCTTTTTTAAGAATAGCCTTAATTTGTGCAGTAATTGTTTTAGTTTCCGGCTTTATTTGTTAGTGTAGACTAGACCTCAGCCTTGTGAGGTTCCATGACCCAGAGCTAGGTAACCCGGCTTTTAGTGAAACAAATGAAAAGGACATAGCTAGAGCTAAGGCTCCGGGAGTTCATCTGGCGGTAAACCCGTCTACACAGTCAAAGTAAACTGAATGTTTGGTACAGTTATCTAGCTAATAGGAGAGAAATGATCTCTTGAAGCGTTAGCTACAGCCGCTTGTTTCACGGGAAGCCGCTGTCCCGGGTCCCGATCTGCCAGACTGTTTTCTCAATCCCTTCTGGCTGGTAGACATTGACCCAATAGATTCCCACAAAATAAGAGAATGTAATTACTGAAACAAGAATTTTTGTGGTCACACATCTCCCCTGGGGATTTCAAAGATTTGTCCAACTCATCCGGTTTGTGTGGTGTGGGGGGAGGGCGATTTGGGCGGGAAACCTGTCAATTAAAATCAATGTTTACTGATAAAATTGAGTTTTGTTCAAAATTGAGCAAACTCCCTCGGTCCTCCATGGGCTTGGTTCCTGGCCTGAGTCTTGAAGCCCAGTGCCCGCGGACCGATGTGAGAGTCGCGCGTGCTTGTGAACCTTTGCACCAGCTCTGCAGAGGGACTGGTGGAGGGTACAGCGGCCCAGGCGAGAGGGCGCAGCCGGTCCTAAGCCCTGTGATCTCTGCTCAGCGGGAGAAGGCCTCTCCCGCTGCGCCCTCCGCTTCCGACCCACGCGCCCCACGTCCTCCCAGCCATCGTTTTCGCCTCCAGCCTCGCCTGCGCGGGCTCGGGCGCCCAGGGCCGAGGTGCCTCCCTAGAGATCCAGCTCCGGCTCTCAGCATCCCCAGTCAGGCGAGGCCCGATAAATCCTCCGCAAAACCCTTTAGGGAACTGCCGCCGCTCCTCGAGCTATCAGCCCCGGCGGGCACGTTGTCGAGTTGTAAAAACGGTTGGATTTTTCTCCCTAGAACCATGTCTGGATGCGGAGATGGAGCCGAGTGTGAGCGCATTTTCAAACGCGGAAATTCGTTGGCCAGTTCTAAGGACTTTAGAACCCTGAGACGTTTGGTTTTGGTTTCGGGGCGGGTCAGCGTCCCGCCGGACCCCCAGACCCGTGCGCGCCCCGGTGGCCACGCGCCCTGCGGTCCCAGTGGGGCCTCCGCTCGGCGAGCAGAGCCGGCCCGGGGCTTCCGGCGCCGCGTTTTCTAGAGAACCCGGTCTCTGGGATGCTCATTTCAGCCCGGTTTTAGTGCTAGAAGCGAAACCCTACAGGAACGAACAGGAGCGTCTGCGCTGTGGGTTCGCTGGGCTTTCCGGCAGCCCCGTCCCGGTGCGCAGGGAAGCGGCTTCTCCGCTGAACCAGGCGGTGGAAGAGGAGAAGCCGGCGCAGGATGGTCCGAACTGGGCGGCGGGAGCCAGAAGCAGGGGGCGGCTTTCGAGGCTCGCAGGGAGGTGACGGGGGAGACCAGGCGTTGGCTGCCCTTCGGTGTTATGTCCCCGGACATCAGGAACTTTCCAAGCCAGGGAGCAGCGTCCGGAGCGGGCTGTGGGAGACCCTACCCTCTAGGACCCGCGTCGGTAATGGGCCGGCGCTTCAAAGGGCGCCTTTGTTCCGGCAGGAGGGGGATGAGGTTATCTCCGCGGCGGGCGGCGTGGCTAGCCTCTCCCTCTTGTAGCCCCAGGTCCCTGAGCCCCGCCGTCAGGTCTAGAGCCCCGGGCCGGCCGCCGTCTTTGCTGAAGAGACCGCAGCTCCAGCCCTGGGCCCTTCCCACCCCTAGCTCCCACCTCCAGTTGCCTTGCTCTTGGGAGTCTCTATTGCTAGTTCGTAGCCGGTGCCTTGAAGTGGACCAAGAGAGGCTGGAGGAAAGCTGGGTTGGGTGGGGGTCAGTTGCTAGCTCCAGGATAGACTAAGCCAGCCCCTTTTTAATCTACTGTCCTTGTCTGAAACTGCCAGCCCACTCTCACAGCCCAGAATTACTGGGGGTGGTGGGGGGGGGGAGACAGACCACACCGAACCCCTGTCCCAAGGGTCGGGCAGACACAAACCACATTATAAAAGAGCCATCAAGTCACACACACTGAGGCCAGACCACAGTCCTGCGTCCTCTGATCCATATGGCCCTTCACACCGCTGCAGCCCATTCACTCCCACCTACAGGGTCCCTCTGCTGCCACCTCACCTCTGACTAGCCTGGGCCAGTCCGGCGGCTGGAGCCAAACCGTGCAAATGCTGGCGTCAGGCAGGCTTTCTCGCTTCCTGCCTGGCTCATTTGTCCAGAGAACACCCCTGTTGGGACTTCACCTGGGCTCAGAATGAGGTGTTTTCTGAAGCAGTTTATTTTAACATTGACAAGAAGTATCTGCTTCCCACCTATCTCTCCCACCATTCTCTTGCCCACACTTGAGACTGAAATCCTTATTCCTACCTGGATCAAGCTCCTCCTTTCTCTCCCTCTTACCCTGTTCTGTCAGACCACCTCTCTGGCCATCTGTCCCCTCCACTACCACAAGTTAAACTCTTCTTTCAATCAGGCCCGAGAGTCCAGGGCCTGCCCGTTTTGAAGGGCCCAATGGTCAGGGTGTCCCTCCCTCTATCTTCCTAGTCTATGATTCCTCTTCCCTATTGTAGCAGCACAGATCCAACCACTTGAGATAGAGAAGGTGACTGGAAATTAGTGACTTCTCCCAGTCACGGGACTTTGTCTCCCCCCCCCCCCCCAGGTACTAGCCCCTCATTCCTAGGCAACCCTGTCTGCTTGTGTCAGTGTCTGAAGCCAGGGACTTGTAGAAAGTAATGTCAGGCAGTTTCCACCAGCAGAGGGACATGAACCTGGAGAGTTTTAGCAACATCACCTCAATTACATGCCTTGCTTCACTTACAGCCATATTTCCAGAGATGGGAGATCTGAATGGAATAATCTAAACAACTGTCTTAAGAACAAAACAACAGGTCAAATTGAGTCAAACCAAAGGCCATTTCTGAAGAAATTCATTCGGTCAGCTAACTGTCGAAACATTCTATCTAGGGCTCTACATTATTGGTGGGTCAGGGGGGACTGTTACATGCGGCTGCGTGAGCATCCACGGGTGATTTCAGGACCCTTTCGAGTTTGTTAGCCTGTGCCATGGAGCCTGAGGGGGCCTTGTGGGAGTGGGGTGGGAGTTCATGGAGACTGGGACTGTCTGTGGAAGCTTGCTTAGCTTTTGTAGTTTCTGACCCACCACCCCAGCCTCACCCACTCCAAATGTCATCCCCTCCTCCTGCATCTGGGGGCTGAGTTTCCATGGTGGCCAATATTTGCAAGAGACAGTCACACTCTTTGAAAACCCTGTATGGGAGATAGGAGAAAAAGACAGTAGGGAGGCTGGAGCATGTATTTACACAGGCCCATGCAGAAACCTATATACCTATATCTATATATATTAGAGAGAAAGATAATATCGAGATATTTATAAACACGCTCCTTTAGCACGGGACTATTCAGGGATGAAGCAAGGTCTTTTCCCACCAGGGAGCAGTGAGAGTCTCCTGTGGGAGAGGGTTTTACCTGAGGGGAAAGGGAGAGAGGTGGGGAAGGGTAGAAGAACCTGACCTTAGACCTGCAGGTGCTGCCTGGCCAATGACCTAACTGCTGACCTATTTTTACCACTTGCAGGGGAGAGCCTGGGCCAGTGGTAGGCATTTTTAAAGGGCTAGTGGCCTGAGCAAGGCTGGTTTAAGTGAGGGGAGATTTCCTTGGGTATCTTCTAGTTCTTGAATCTGTGTTTGGCTTGGGGATGCCTAATAGCTTCACTGTTCCCCTTAGCACCTTTCTGACAACCAGCCCCTTTTCTCCTCTTGATCCACTTTGAGTGAAATACGATGGGTTGAGCAGATGAACAGAACTAAGGGACTTTTCTCTGTCTCGGCCTCTTGGGTTGCTGCAGGCCCTATGGATTTGGGCCCATAGGCGCCTCCTCAGGCCGGGTCCCACCCTTGGCCCATCAGCAGCTCCACATTTCTGCCTGGCTCCCAACAGGGTGCCTCTGGGAATGTGGAGGTGTTGGGGAGGAGAGTGGACTTAAGGAAGGGGAGGCGAAGGGAGAGGAAAGAAAGAAGGGCCGTGGATTGGAGAGGGTATCGGAGTTCTCAAGGGAGTAAGGGATGCCCGGGCAGCGGCTCACGGCGCCCCTTCTCTCTGTCTGTACCCGCGTGTGTTGCCTCGGCGGCGCGGGCAGCGAGCGATGTGCCCCAGGACGGGCTGCTTCTGCACGGCCCCTTCGCGCGCAAGCCCAAGAGGATCCGCACGGCCTTCTCGCCCTCGCAGCTGCTGCGCCTGGAGCGCGCCTTCGAGAAGAACCACTACGTGGTGGGCGCCGAGCGGAAGCAGCTGGCCGGCAGCCTCAGCCTCTCGGAGACGCAGGTAATAATCGCCCCAAGTGGGCGGCCCGCGCTCACCTGGGAGCCCCCATAGAGGTGGGAGCGGGCGGGTAGAGTCCTCCCCTGGCCTTCCCTGGAGCCCTCTCCTGCCCGGTTCAGGAGGCCACCCGGCGGCGCTCCCGCGAAGCCCGTCTTTAGAGCGCCCGGAAGGATTTTAATCCAGCCCTAAGGACTCACTAGAAGTGGGGTCAGACCTCAGACCAAGGCCGCTCCGCTCCCAAGCCCGCAGGAGGAGCCGGGTTACCCGTCACTCCCGGGCGCACCAATGGATACGGAGCCATCGCAGCGCTGTGATCACTGCCCCCTTCTCCCGCCGCTCTTCCCGGCGCTCACGCTCCGGGGGATGCCCAGGCCTTCCCCGCACTGGCTTTGCTGCCGGTCACGGGCAGACCTGGCAGAGGCCTCGACTGCCCACTAACGCATGCGGTGGGGGGAGAAAGCCCTCGTGTCCTCAGGGCAGACACAGCAGAGACAGGGGCTAAGCTAGGGAGCCGCCAGCCGTGCTTGGGGTGGGCGGGTGGCCCTGTCTCCTCACAGGCACGCTGGCAGGGAACCGTGGAAATGGCTTTGCAAATGCGAGGGCATCTGAGAATGTGGCAAGGAGATTCTGGGTGTTTGGGGACTGGTTTCAGTCGCCTGAAGGGCTGTTGAGCTGGGGAGAGACTATACTGAGGTGTTGGTGGGGTTGAACGGGGTGAAATTACAATCACCACGTATTTTTGTTATGGATAATTTTTTTTAAATTTGAAAGAAGTAGATGAGAGTTATAGGGAAGCAAATTTGGTTTACTGTAAGAAAAGACTTGGCCATTATGAATGCTGCCTGGAAGCACGGCCTAAGCTTTCCCTCTGCACAAGCAGTCTTGCTAGAGGGGCGGGTGCTGCCCTGGGGAGGATTTCAGTGTCCGCCCTTGTCAATGCCTAGATTTGCAAATGAGAGAGGTCTGCAAGCTGGCTAGCTTTTCATCCTTCACTCCGCTTTCCTGTACTACTGGCTCCCTACCCTCCACTACCCTCCTCCACCCTCCACCGTAGTCCATGACTAGGAAAAGGCGCAGGGCTGGGGTGTATCGGGGGCAGCTTGGGGTCTCCTGGGGAGCAATGAGGGGCTTAGCGGGAGAGTCCAAACTCTAACTGCCTCTGACCTCCAGACCTCTCAGGCTTGTCCTCATGTCGCATTTTGGTATCTACTAAGGTCCCATCTGTCTGATGCTCCAATGCCCCTGTCTCCGCTAAAGGAGATATGATTTGCTAGCTGGGCTGTTCTAACCATAGAAATAAAGTGTACAAAACGGAGTTAATTCTAAAAACGTTTTTTAAAAAAGATATGTGTTTAAAAACCCACTTAAAAAATAATACCCCCTTTTCCCTTCTGGCAAACAGCATTGTAAATTTGTCTAAAACAAGGTGCCAATTTATGAATGGTGTTTACAGTTAACTTCATTTAAAAAGTACTAGTTATTAAATTTTAATTGCAGAAGTATTTATAATTCCACCACCCACAGATGAACACTTGTTGAAATAATGTCATTGTTTTAAACTTTCAATTTTTTAGCTTGGTGAGAGCACTTTTAATTAATTTTCTTACACTGAATCTAGCTGCCTGTCAGTATTTGCTCCTAACAATGCCAGGTAGTAAACATGATTGTTTCTTTCATTTTTACGGTAAGGTAGTTCAAACATATTTAAAACAAACATTTTAAACAGTGTCACTATCAAAACTCACGCCTAATCTTGTTCCATCGATATAGGTGAGCTGGTTTTAGCATACAGAACGCAAACTAACAATAGAACCACAGGAGGTCTGGGCCTGAGAAACCTCCTTGCAGAGGCTGTTTCCAGGTGACAGAGATGGAGAGGCTGGGCAGGGCTCCCCGGCAGGCTGCTGGCCGACGGTGTGATCCTTGGGCAGTGTACTCAACCTCTCTGAACTCTGGTTCTCTCCTCCAGAAAACAGGCTGTTTAAGAAGTAAAGGCACTTAATAGTAATCAAATATATTAATTCTCATTCCCAGTCCTTCCTTTTCCTTTATTTAAAGTGACATATCAAGTTAGTATTACAATAAGATTCAAGTCTAGGCTGACTGACAGTCCAGTGTTCTTTCTGCTACATCCAGTCTCCTTTATCATCAGAGCTGTCTTTCTGTCCCTCTCCTAATGTCATTTGGACGTGGGTTATATCATTAACGAATGACCTATTCATCTTTCGGTATTTGCCAGGCAAGCTTACCTGTCACTTCCAGCTATCAGCTACTTGTCAAGCATCAGTCACTCCCATCCGCCCCCTGCCATTTCTTTCTACTGTCAATATCTGTATTTGTCTCTCAGAGCTCCCTAAACTGTCCCTCACAGATAGCTGTTTTCTATCTAGCCATTACTTATGTCTGCTCTCATTAAGCTGCCTCATAAAGCTGGTTAATTTATATTTCCTATTTCCTATATTTCCTGTCCATGATAATTTTCCTAACAATAACTCCTATTTATCCAACGATTGATGATCTCTTTATCATCTATTTTATTTTATCTTCTGTGTATACACCATCCATGTCAAACTTCTCTATAGACCTACTTACCAACTGACAGATAGTGAATTCCTAGATCTGCTAATGGCTACCTATCATTTCATCAGTTCTGGTTTTGTCTTCTTTCTCAGCCTCAGTTGCAGTATCTGTAAGACTGAATGAAATTAACTCCAGGGTTCTTTCCAGCCCTAAATTTCTGGCTCATCATTATTCTACTTTGTGTTTCTCTAGAATCCCTCCTCTAAGTTCTCAGAGCTCACAGTATACCTCCTACATATAAAAATTCGCACAGGCCTTTGCTATTGTTTAATTATCTGCCATGTCCAAATGTCAGTCTGTAGACAGGTTGTATCTGTCTCACAAAGAAATTTTAAAATACAGACTCCTGATCTCCACTCAGGAGATTCTCTTAGGAGTTTCAGGAGAGGAGCCAGGAAAAGTTTTAAACTGCTCTCTGGGTGATTCTGATGAACAGCTGGCCTGTGTGGGGAAGAACAAGCCTTCCTATTTCTCGCTGTACCCCAGGGCTCCATAAACACGTAATGAATGGATGGGCAAACTTCTCTTGATTGTACACATATCCATATGTTAATTTTATCAGTCATTTCCCTTGCTCTCTACTCTCACTGTTCTCTGTTTTCTATCTTTCCCTTGCACTGTCTTCTACATTGTTGGTCTAGAACAGAGGTTCTCAATCTGTGGGTCGCAACCCCTTTGGCGGTCAAACGATCCTTTCACAGGGGTCACCTAAGACCATCCTGCATATCTGATATTTACATTACGATTCATAACAGTAGCAACATAACAGTTATGAAGTAGCAATGAAAAGAATTTTATGGTTGGGGTCACAACATGAGGAACTGTATTTAAAGAGCCAGAAGGTTGAGAACCACTGGTCTAGAAGATGATCTAGTTTTATCCATGGATAGAGCTTCTGGGAAGGTTAAGCAAATCAGTGTGTGAGTCTTAATCCAGAGCTCAGGGGTCTCTGTACGCCCAGAGCTTTAGCACGGAGTGTGGGGAGGTGGGCACCCTGAGTGTCTTTGTCGGGGTGAGCTGTGTGTGTGGTTGGGAGTAGGGCATTTGTGCTGGGATTACAGTAGGTTTATCCAGGAGGTGGAGGGACGGGCCCCAGGCTCTTCTCCCTTCTGGCTCTAATCACTTGCTCCTCACTGCTGTGGTGCAGCCCTGGAGTCTGACCTGGATGATGCCCATCCAAGTTCAGTCCTGGTGGTTAGGTCAGATCAGAGCCACGAGTGATGCAAGTGAGTGAGTGTTAGTGTATGTGTGTGTGCGTATAATGGATGTGTGCACACAATATGGGACACATGTAGGCGTAGTGTTATTGGTGCTCAAAGGTCAGGTGATATTTCATATGTTCACACCAGATGCCAGCAAGCCGTCATGGAGTGCAGCTTGTGTGCTTCGGTGTGTGTGTGTGAGGAGGGCACATTAGTTTTAGGAGTGAGAGAAGCATTTGGTTGCTCCAAGCTGATTGGTCGATGTTTCCAGCTGCCAGTCTCGTTCTGAATAGTTCAGCAGGTGTTTCTTGACCTTTCCTGGCTTTAAGTTTGGCTGAGCTGGGAGGGGAAATGGTGCAGAAACATGTTCCTTGGCCTTGGAGATTCCTCATTTAGTGGTGGGACTTTAAACAAAATGCGCACCCTTGTGTGACATGCATAGGATGGGCAACTGGAGTCCTGTTAAAGTCATAGGTATGCGTGTGGGTATGGGCTGAGGGAGGTCAGGGAGACCCACATGGGTGATTCACCTGAGGGTAAGGGCAAGCATCCAGGATGATCTAAGAGAGGAGAAAGAAGGCCAGGAAGAGTTGTAGCTATGGTTGATGTGGAGTCTGAGGTGACCTCAGTTTTATGGGGTGAGAGTTGAGCTTAGCATGGCATTGGGCTTGACCTTCAGAGTGGGAGCAGCTCACATGATCACATGATGGGAAATGGAGTCCTCATCCTGTGCCTCTCCCTCAAGGTGAGAGAGCAGGGAGGAGAGCAGGCTGAGGGGTGGCTTGATTTGTGTCTCCAAGCCTCCATCTAGTCTGAGGGTTTCTGTGTCTGAGATGACAGAATAGGACAGGCTTAAGTTAAAGCACAAGAGAATAGTAGGACATGAGGAGGAACTTTTTGTGTCAGAGTTACAAAACTCAAATAACACTGAATAGGAGTATTTTAACTCCTTGAGAAGAGGACAGGTATTCCCCTGAAAGTAGGCAGGGGCCAGAAGCCACAGACCCTTCCATTTGGGATGAGCTAAGGTTGAGGAGTGGTGGAAAAGAAGGGATCCAGAGCTGGTTCATTCAAACAGCAGTATATTTCAAACTTAAGTCTGAAATATTGGCTGGAGCTGTAGTTTCCTTGTTTGTTAGTTCATTTGCCTATTTAATCATACATTAATACATGCATGCCTTTATTCATTAAAGCATAAATTGATAAATCCACTAATGCATTGATTCATTCATTCATCCACAGCAGTTTCACCTTCTTTTTATTTAATTAATTTTAATGTTTTTTAATTGATTTCAGAGAGAAGGAGGGAGAGAGAGAGAAACTTCAATGATGAGAATTATTGATCCACTGTCTCCTGCACTCTCCGTACTGGGGATCAAGCCCACAACCCCAGCATGTGCCCTGACTGGTAATGAAACCTGTGAACTCCTGGTTCATGGGTTGACGCTCAACCACTGAGCCACACCGGCTGGGCAGTTTCACCTTCTTCATCCTGTCTGACTCAAGCTGACCCTTGTTACCACCACCAATGTCTCCCTCCCCCAGGTTCCCCCTTCAAGTGGTTAATACAGTCCACAACATGGAGAATTAAGAATTGACTGTATTGAAGTGTCCACTGAACTAAGCCAAAAGAGAATCCCATTTCTTCAGCCATTAGCACTTTCCAAACCCCCCTTTTTTTATTAGGTCTCAATCCCTCTGCCATTGATTCTCTCCTGTTTTCCAGGTTTGGCCCAGAGCATAGGGCTGGGTCACCTCATCTCTCTGTCCAGCTGGCTGAACAGACCTGGAACCTGTCCACTAGGACTCCAAAGCGGACTAACTCACTGCTTTGGTTCTCCAGGTTCCATAGTCCGGTGAGGAGACAGGTTCGAGCAAATAAATCAGTGCACTGCTGGGGTCACTGCTCCTGAGACAGAGAAATGTACTAAAGAAGTACAGATGGGTGGTGGGGCAGGGCCAAAGCCAGAACACCTGGGCAGGGTTTTGAAGGCTAAGAGCATTTCAGGTTGGGTAACTCAGGGAAAAGCAGAGACTCTTGAAAGGGTCTGTCTTATCTGAAAAACTGAGAAATGTTTAATGAGGTAGGGACTTGGGAGACCATAAGGAACCTCTCCCCAACCCCAAGGGGTCAGAGATGGGTGAGGGCTTCCTCCAGCCAACATCTCAGCTGTGCCTTTGGAGCTTAGAGAGAGGTGGGTGGATATTGGGGTGGGAACAGGTACAGAAGAAGCACGGCCTCCTAAGGCTGGCTCCCACAGAGCTGGTAGCCATACTATGTGACCTGGTTCCTTTCCAGGTCCTCTCTGCTCTAGAGAAGGGGCTCGGGGTGAGGCTGGGTTGGAGATGTCATGAGTGTCACTCTTATTTTCCACTACACTCAGAGTCCAGTTTCTTTTCTTTTCCAAGTAAAAAGTAACTATTAATTGTTATCAATGATGCATTAAAGAAAAATCAGAAAAGTGGAGAAAAGAAAGAAAAGTCACCCATACCTTGGGTACATTTCCTTCTAGTCTTTTTTCCCCCATGCATAGATTTTGTTTTTCCATGGTTGTGTTCACACTGTGCCCAAACTGTGCATCCTGCCATTTTCACTAATATTACTACATCATAAGCATCCCCCTGTTAGTTCAGTCTTTGTAAACAGCATCTGGACATTCAGCCCAAGGCTGTTCTCCAGAAGATAGCCAGGCTGCCCAGGGAGAGGGTTTGCAGCCCTGTTTCTAGACAGCTGACTCCTTGACACTGGCTGTTTTCATGAAGAAAATATTCAGAATCAACTTTCATTTGGGTGTGCCAGGAGGTTCCACCATTGAAACTTTCCTTCTTTGGGCCAGTGATTCTAGGCAAGGGTAGCAGGTTGGGTCCATTCCACTATAGCTGTGTCTCCTTCCTGGAAGGAGAGATGGGAGTGTGTGGGAGGGAGAAGGTGCAGAAAGGGGCCCTCTGTCCCTGGTGCAGTCCAGTGCGGCCCTGAATCACCCCAACAGGCTAGCCATGCCTAACCCTCATTCAGCTCCTTGGGCTCTTAGGAATGCTACTGAGGCCAGCATCCAGGCGTGACTCATGTACATGCCTTGCATGGGAAGCAGGGCAAGCTCACCCACCTACTGGATGGCACAGTCACAGCAGGCTCCAGGGTGGATGGGGGAGGGGGAGGGGCCAGGCTGGCTGCCAAATGGTTATGCTGAGAACCACCCAGGGCCCCATAGCCCTGTGCCCAAGGAAAGGTGGGCATAGAATCCAGAAGCCCTGGGCTTAGAGCACCTGCCATCCTCCCCATGTACCTGAGGCGAAACACACAGGTGAAGGGTTTGAACCCTGGCCTGGACATGAGGGAAGAGGGCCCTCTCCTCATTTTATTTCCTAAAGCCAGGCCCCTCATCTCTTCCTGTCCTTGGCTGGTTACTCTGTGTAGCACTGAGCACTGGTGTCCCCACCCTATGCCTATTGCTCTAAAATCAAGGGCAGGGCAGATAGAGCTGTGGAAACCCTGGTTGGGGGCGGGGGTAGGAGCAGCTCTGGGTTAGGTGGGCTCCATGGAAGGGACAGAGGGGACTGCCTGGGAATTGTGAGGGTGGGGCATCCTGGGCAGGAAACTGTCAACTGGACCTGGATGCCAGGCCTGATTTTGACTGCCTTCGCCTGGCTTTATGGCAAAGGCCGGTGACTGTCACCCATCCTCGGGGAGTAGGGGCTGGACTGGGTAATCTTTCTGAGGACTCCCTTTGACCCTGCCCAGGAGTCAAGGATCCCCCCTTAGCAGCCACTGCTGCTGCCAAAATCAAGGTGCTCGCCATCACTCCACACACACGGCTTACCACTCACCATCCACACTGGCACCATGGATCGCCCTAGCTGCAGTTGGCACTGCTTGCTTCAGCGTGTGCTGGCATTTCCAGGAAAGCACCCATGCCTTGTAACCCTGGCCACTCTGCATCACCTTCCCTGAGATTCTCTGGAGCAAAAGCCCAGGAGGTGCCCTGGAGCCCCAAGGGCCCCAGAAAGCCTTTCTCCTATAGATGAGGGACTTGAGCCCAGAGAGGGAAGGAACTCGGCAGAGGCTCCTGTCACTGACTCAGGCTGACCCGGGCCACTGGCTGCACAAGGCCAAGTGAAAAACTGCATGGTCCAGAGAAGCAGACAGACGGAGATGCGATGGCTTCATATGTCCTCTCATTTATGTTCCCATCAACCCTGTGGAAGAGTGATTGTTATCTCTTCTCTAGGAACCATAGAGACCCAGGTCTGTTGGGCTCCGGAGCCTGGGCCTCCCCCTGTGTGTGCTGTGGCTACAGGATGCTCGGCAGCTCCACCACCCTTCCTGTCCCTCTCGACAGAGAGACAGGAAAATCGCCCCTTTCTGCCCACTGCGTCCTCTCCAAACCCAAGGTGGCAGCTGGCCAGAGAAAAGGACTCTGGCCTCGGTTTCCCCATTGGCTCCCAGCTCATTCTGAGCGCTGAGGTCCTGGCGGCTGTTTCTCACCTGTGCCCCTCCCTCCCCGGCCCAGGTGAAGGTGTGGTTCCAGAACCGGAGGACAAAGTACAAGCGGCAAAAGCTGGAGGAGGAGGGACCCGAGTCGGAGCAGAAGAAGAAGGGCTCCCACCACATCAACCGGTGGCGCATCGCCACCAAGCAGGCCAACGGGGAGGACATCGATGTCACCTCCAATGACTAGGGTGGGCAGCCAGCCACAAACCCAGGAGAGCAGAGTGCTGCCAGGGCCCTCGGCGACCCACCTGGACTCTGGCCACTCCCCGGCCCAGCTGCGGGGAAGCCTCAAGTCACAGCCCCATAGGGCTCGGAGCCTGGGGCCACATCGACGGAGGGACAAGAAATGGGCTGGCTGAGGCCTGGGACTGCTCAACCCTCTCCTCGGAGAGCCTGCCTGCCTGCCTGCCTGGGCAGGCCCACAGCCACTGCTGCCTCCCAGCCGTTCTCCATTTCTCTTTTCCTTTTGATGCATTTCTGTTTTAATTTATTTTCCAGGCACCCACTATAGTTCTTAGTGATTCCCCTGTGTTTCCCTTCCCTATGGGAACAATAAAAGTCTCTCTCTCAATGACGCGGGCATCCAGCTCCAACCCCAGAGCCCGTGAGCCGGGGCTGGTGGCTTTGGTTTCTGGGCCACTGGGCACTGGCAGAGCAAGCTTGTTTTGGGGCCTGGGAGCCTGGAGTGGGGCCTTAGAGACTTAATTTATTAACTCCTGTCCTTTGTTGGTCATTGACCTGGCCTCTAGCTCCAACTCCACAACAAGAGAAACTGAGGCTAGACATAGGGAAGGACGACCCTGTACATGAGTGAGGCTATGCTTAGGTCTCCAAACATGTTGAGCAATGAGCATCAGGTCCAGGTGGGTCAGGGGAGACAGAGAGTGTGCGTACTTCCCATGTTTAGAGACTCTTCATTTGAGGAGAAACCAGAGGGAAAGGGGAGTACTGGGGGTTGGGTGGGGGAGGCACCCTTCACAGAGGCTGACAATCCCAGCCCCACGTCCTGGCCTGACCAGGATACTAGGACTTGAGTGTGGGCCTGCAACAAGTCCCCAAGGACGCAGGGCCTCCCAGCCTGGGAAAGAGCGCCAAAGCAGGGCACGCCAAGCTCTTCAGTCCACCTGCCCTTCAATATGTCCACTTGTCTTTCCTGCTTTTCACACACCAAGGTTTCTTTCATTCCAAAAAAAGCAAAACCCGTATTCCTAACAGCCTTTCCCTTATGACATCCAAGTGGTCCCCAACCCTCTGCTGATGCTGATGGCAGTCAATTGCTGCCACCCACTTGTGGCCAAACTTAACTGCCTCTCATCTGGCTTAACCAGCCCTCATCTTCTGGCCATTCCTCCGGACTCCCTCGCCCCTCCCTGCCTGCATCTGGGTACCCCTGCACCTTCTTTTGCCTCTCCAAGTCCTTCCCAGTCTTGTCCTTGCCTCGTCACCTCTGTCCACTCCAGGGTCAGTCCTGTGCCTTTGGCCTGGGGCTTCGCATCCACTGCCAAGACTTGTCTTTGGCTCCCTGGTTCACGCCTCCAGCTGACCTGTACTGAGCTAGCCACCAGCCATTTGGTGTACTCCATGCTCCTCAGCACTTCAAACCCAATGCATCTCTCCACCCTTTCTGTAGGATCGCCCACCTTGGCAATTGGCTGAGGTTTTGTCTCTCTTGGGAAACAGTGTACAAGGCTCCTGGGGTGTTGGGAGGGGGGGGGGGGATGAACGGTAGGTATAATGAGGTTTGTGTGGATGTCAGGGATGAGGCCCACTTCAAAGGAGGACCTCCATGCTACAGCTAGGGTTCTCTTAGCCCAAATAGGATCCTGTCTCCCCCTTCCTAAGTCTCCCACTCTTCCTAAACTTCTTCCCCACCCTGACCTCTCCTACATCACTCCTGGTACCTTCTGCTTCAGTCTCACCCATGTCATCCCTGTCCCTCAGTGAGCTGTGGGTTCTGCCGTGCCTTTACTTACATAGTTCTTGGTGCCTGGAATGTCCTGGTGGCTTGGTCAATGTTAAAGTCATTGGAAAGATGTCCAAGGCCCAGCCTTGTTGCCGGGGGCACACCTAGGGATCCAAACGCAGAAGGTCCTTGTGCTGGGACTATGAGCATCTCACTTGGGGCTAGACACCAAAGGGTTAAGTCCCATCCCAACACCCCTCCCCGCATCAACCAGGAAAATGCGTCCCTCACATCCTGCATAAGACCCGGTTAAACCTCAGGTGGACTCTTTCGCTATCAGGCAGGTGGGATGACCTCTTGGAAGCTTGGTGCACAGGTTGGATGAGACTGAGAAGAGGAGACATCCCTTTTGGCATGAGTAATGGGGGTGGGGGGGTGGGGGGCAGAGGAATGGGTGAGCCGTACCACTCAAGATTCTCTCTCACTTGGTAGGGAAAGGGTGCAGGGAAATCACAGCAGAGCACCCCCTGTCATCCGATAAAGAGCTGGAAAGGACCCAAGGAAACCTGCCAATCTTCCTAGGCCAGGCCTGCGGGGGGCGGGGCGGGAGTCCCCGAGCACTCCCATCCGTCCCCCGTGTTGTGCCTCTCCCCACAGACGGTAAATATTGGTGTTGTGACTTCATTAATAAAGGCTTCTGTGAGCCTGAAAAACATGGAATCAGGATGAACTATTTTCTGAGCTGTGGGCTTGCCAGGTTTGCTAATTTGGGAGTTTTTGGGCCCTCTCCAGGGAACAAACCAAAGTCTCTCTCAAAGACACACAGATGCAGCCAGGAAGGGGAGCAGAAGCCTCAGAATGATGCTCCCTTCCCTCCCCGACCACTCCTCCCCCTGGAGATCAGGGCCTGCAGGGGTGAGGATGGTGGACAGGAGCTTCCAGGTCAGACCTTCCCTGAAGCAACCTGCTGGGCTATAGCCCTCCGCCGTGCTGGCCTCGGGGGCCCTGCAGAGTCCAGTGGGCTGAGGTGTGATGAGCTCCTGTGAGAACCCACGTTGCATGCACTGAAGAGGAGGGAATACCAATCCCGGGGAGCTGTTCGTAACTCTTGTGGCCCAAGCCCTGGGCCTCACATCCAGGGAAGGACCTTTACACATCCTCTTGTCCTCGAAACTTTCCGGGATTGGTCCCTCGGGCCTCCACAGCCGCGTGGCTCGTGCTCTTAGCATCTCTGCGCTTGGCTTACACCAGCTCCTCCTCACAGGGGCTGTGATTGCTTCCCGTGGGGCTTTGTGGAACTCACGCCTCGCGACCAGGGTTCTGGCCAGGAGGGAGCCAGGCTGGGCCCACAGGCCTCTCCCAGAGCCCGTGCTCCAGGGCAGCCATGCAGGGGGAGGGGCAGGGCGGCCAGCAGGCTGAGCAGAGCAGGCCCAGCCAGCTTTCCTGTCAGACGGGTGCTGCCAATTCGGAGCCAGACATCAGAACAGGTTTAACCAATTACCCGAGCGCCCCATCTGCTGTCTGGGGCGTGTGTGAGGGTGAGTGCATGTGAGGGTGTCTGTCTGGTCTGGGAGGGCTGTGGGCGTGTGTGCATGAGTGTGACTGTGTGGGTGTGTGTGGGCGGTCGGCTGTGCACGTGGGCAGTGTGTGGCTGCATGTCCCAGCTGTACCCCCTCATTTGTCAAAGACTGTGGCCACCAGCTTATGGTCTTCCTGTCTCCCCAAGACCTCCACCCAGCACCCCAGCCTCTCATTCCCTCTCACCTCATCCCCACCCACTCTCAGGCCTTATCAGACCCCAGAATTGGGGCTGCTCTCAAATCCCACATTCAGCTGTCCTTTCCCACCAGACCCCATGTTCCTCCAGCTCACTCAGTTTTCCTCCTCCTCCGCGCTTTGACCTCATGAAATTCCCCTGCCGCAGGCTCCTCTATTCTCTCTCCAACATGCTCTGTCCCACTGTTCCTTAGTTGCACCCGCCTGGCAAAATCCCAAACTTGCTTGAACCTGTTTCCTTGTCTGCCCTTGCAGCTCAGTCTGTAAGGACACCAGGCAAGCTTGCTCGATGGCCCCCCCTGGAGGTCGAGATCCCAGCCTCAGCTGAGGCTCACCCCTGTTGATAAGTCCGCTCTCATTCTCCATAGGGGACGTCTCAAAGGGTCATCCTTCTCCTCATACCTCCTCTCCCTCACCCTCAGCAGAGGACTTGATTTGCATCTTCAGAGAGAAAAAGGCAGCAGTGGAAGAGAACCCCTTCATATCAGACAGGGGCCTGCAGGAAGAGACGGCCCCTTCAAGTGGGGCACTTTGAGGAGAGTTGAATAATGAATTTTGGAAAGCCAGCAGAGATGTTGCAGTGTCCCAAGGTTAGCAACAACGGGGAGCTCACACAGCCCTGGTAAGAGGCAGGAGCAGTTACCAGAACCTGAGAGGACAGCTGGGCGGAGAGGGCCCCAGCTAGGGCTGCAGCCTTCAGTAGCAGGAAGCCCTCAGACTGCAGTGGAAATGGGTGGGGGGAGGGCAGGGAGGAGGTAAATCCCCCAGTCTCACTCTCCTCCAATCACCAGTTTCCTAGTGGTGATTCCCAGTGGTGGGAACCAGACATCAAGTCCATTTGAGCCAGCCTTTGGGATGGAGAGCTGATGGCAAAGGGTGCAGAGCTGATCTGGAGGGGCCAGGGAAGCTACCCTCTCACCCCGCAACTTCCCGCACTCACACCCACACCACCTGCTTCCAACCCATCCTCTCCACCTGCCTCCTGTTACCACCCAGGCTCCTCTCTCCTCAAGGAGGATCCTCCCCGCACCCTGGAGGACCTCTCTCCTGGGTGGCTCTTTTTCTTCTCTGCCTTTACAGTCTCTTCCACTCTCACCCAATAGAGTTTCCACAGGCCCGAGAGTCTCCCATCTAAAGCCCTCCCTTAGCCCCATGTCATGCTGCAGCCATTGTCATGTCTCTGCCCACCTCACAAGAATTTCCTAACAGGCACTCGGTGGGCGTCCTGCTAACTTCTCAGCCCAGGAAGATCTGACTTTTGCCCTCACCGCACTCCACTGAGATCCTTCTCTGCAGGTCCTTGGTCTTTATCTTCCTTAAACACTCAGCACCAACTAAGTATGTGGACAGCTTCTCCTACTTGAAGGATGCTCATCCCTTGTCCTCTGGGTTATCATGTCTCCTTATCTTCCTCCTACCTCTTGTCTAGTTTGCTAGGGCTGCCATGACAAGCACCACAGGTGGGGTGGCTTAAACAACTTCTCCTCTCACAGTTCTGGAGGCTGGAAGCCCACAATCAAAGTGCCAGCATGGTTGGTTTTTGCTGAGGCCTCTCTCCTTAGCTTGCAGATGACTATCTTCCTGTTCACATAGAATTCTCCCTCGATGCTTATCTGTGTCTCAATTTTTTCCTTTTTTTTTTTTAAAAAAAATTTTTGTTGATTTTTAGAGAGGAAGGGAGAAGGATAGACAGATAGAAACATCAATGATGAGAGAATCATTGATCAGCTGCCTCCTGCATGCCCCCTACTGGGGATTGAGCATGTGCCCTTGGCTGGAATTGAATCTTGGACTTTCTGTCCGCAGGCCAACACTCTATCCACTGAGCCAAACCAGCTAGGGCTAAATTCCTTCTTCTTATAAGGTCATATTGGATTAGGACCCACCCTAATGACCTCATTTTACCTTAATTACCTCTTTAAAGATCCTCCAATACAGTCACATTCTGGGGAATTAAGACTTCAACACATGAATTTGGGGTGACACGATTCAGTCCATAACACTTTTCTTGGGGCTGTACTTCTTAGCAGCCTCCTGTCTCTCTGTCCAGGCCTCAGAGATGGGGACTCCTCAAGGTAACATCCCAGACCTTCCTCTTCTCACCTCACATACTACCCTGGGTGGTTGCGCTGTCCGTTCAGCTCCAGGTGCTGTCAATAAATAGACAACATGCCAGTCTGCATATCCAATCTCGAACTGCCTCCTGAGTTCCAGACAAGCACCCATTCATTGTCTCGATATCTCAACTTGGTTATCTTGTAGGAACCTCTATTAACTTGTAAAACAGAGTTCATTACCTCCTTTGCAAATCTGTTCTTCCTTCTCTGTTCCTTAGCACCAAGAAATGGCGCCACTATCCATGTCCTCAGCTGCCCGAGCAAGGAACTTGGGGCCATCTTTGACTCCTCCTCTTCCCCACAGCCAATCACCAAGAGCTGAGCAGTGGCGATGTCTTCACTTCTCTCCATCCCCATCCCATGACCTGGCCCAGCCCCCATGTCCCCTCACCTGGGCTGCCACAGTGGCCTCTTCCCTGGGCTCCCCAGCAGTCTTGCCAGAGTCCACGCTCCACTCCACTCTGTTGCCAGATGAATCCACTTCCCCACTGAAAGCCTCTGATGGCTCCCAGCTGTCCTTGGCCCTGCAGCAGCTGGCCCTCTTTCACCTCCAGCGTCTTGCACCCTGTTCTCTAACAACTGAGCTTCTGAGAGCTGAACCCTGGACGGAGCAAGGGCCCTGCTTACTGTCCCTCCTTCTGCCAGGCTCACCTGGGCAGAGGAGAACCAGCTCAGGTGGCAGGGGTCCGCCCCCTTCCCTCACTGCCTCGCTGAATTGCATGGGCTCTTCAAGGGGGTGTCGTCTGCCTATGCCTGTTTGCCCATTTGTTCACCTTCTCTTTCCTATTTTCGTTCTCCCCTTCCTTCTCTCCATCCTTCCATAAGGCCCAGGGAACTGGGGGGAGCCCAGATTCTTGCTCCTTGTGGGGAAGGAGCCAGACTCAGATCTTAGACAAGGCTGCCAGCAGCTAGTGCACCTCAGAGTGGGTCATGGAGAGGGAACACTTCTCGGCTACGGCCCAGAGAGTCACCTGGAAGCATGGGCATGCGGGGCGGGAGGGGGGGAGGGGGGCATGGCGGGGAGTGGCTGAGAGGTTCCTGTGTGGCAGGCTAGCCAGTGACATGGGGACCGGTGAGATGGCAGGAGCGGCAGCAGCTCTGGGGACTGGGGGAAGCTGCATTCTGAAATTAAGGCGAGGCTCCCCAGCGCCTTGGGAAAGGGTCACTCATCACTGCCCTCATCCCCCAGCATTCAGACTCTCCTTCTAACCACGGCCTGAGTGGGAGGAGGGAGGCCCCAGGGGCCAGCGGGTGGGAGCCACATTCCTGGAGTGTTAATGATCTCTGGGCAGGGCAGGAGCTGAGACCCCAGACCAGCTAAAAACAACAAACAGCTCCCAGGAGGGATTTGTGTCTGTCCCGAGAGTCAAGGATTTCCGACACCCGGATGGGGGTTGTGGCCAGTGGGGCTCTTAGCAAAGAAATTCCCCAGAGACCAGAAGCCCCCTGACCCAGGAGTATCACTTTGGATCAGACCCTTCCCCCACCCCTTTCCCTCCTCCACCCTCCTAGGGAGGCCCAGCACCCCTGACACTGGGGAGGTGAGAGGAGAGTCTGGGTGAGTTCCTCACCTAGTCCCTCTAACCTCTGTCCACCAGTCCAGCTAACGATGCTGTTCCTGGCATTTTATCGCTAAGGACACCACAACTCTAAGACAGAATATGCTCCACACACATCTGACCCAAGGAATGGGTGAATGAGTGATGCTGGGGCCAAGCTGGGGCCGGATCCGGGCTGGCCAGACCCCAACCATAAACCCCACCTCCACTGCATGGTCACCCTGCAAGAGTGGAAGATGCTTGGAGGTCCCAGCGCTGTCAGGAGGCAGCCAAGGCCTGGCCCTGAGGGACTATGGAGGAGTTAGAAGGGGCAGAGTTCCCAGGGCTGGTGCTGGACACACTGTGGACATCAGGTACCTTTCCACTTGGCTCAAACCTTTCCACCCTGTGTAGCCTCTCTTGGCCCCCAGGCAGCCCAGAATGACACCCACCCCACCACCACCACCACTCTCCCTTCTAGTCCCCTTGACATAAACAGTAGGAGAATCTACCGAAATCCCTTTTCTACTCTAGTTCCTTGCAGTGGGGCCCTTAGTAAGTGCCCAGCAACCGCTCTGCAAAGGGGGTTCCTTCTGCAGAGTTTCAATTCATCTCCGTTGTCCAGCTTCCTGCCCTCACACGCTCTTCTGTCCTTCCCTCTACCCTTCCCTCTGACCCCTCCTGAGCCTGGGTCCGCATCTTCCTCAGGGGCCTTCCTATAAAATCCTTGCCTAGCCGTTGGCTTGTTCCCACTGTGTTTCCCTGCTCCCACCTCTCCACCCATAATTCACAAAGCCAAGCCTTGATGCTTTAAATCCATCATTTATTGCCCACAGTTCATTAGTAGTACACAAATCACAGAGATTGAGAAATTTTCTGAGAAGGTTAAAAAGACACTGCAAAGTAACCCAGGTATGACCGAGGCCCAGGGCTGGGAAACCACCTTGCTTCTGTCCACGGGCCTGTTTCCTCTCAGAACCCCACCCTTCTGCCAGGGTAGAGGCCCAGGACAGGACACAGTGCCCCTCCACCTCCTCCCCAATCAGGACGTGGAACGGGATGCTGGCCATCCTGACTCGGCAGCCATCGTGACAGCTTGGGCTTTTGGTCCCTGCACATGCGGACTGTTCTCTGGAAATGGGAGAGGGGTATCCCAAGCCTTCAGGAATGTTTGAAGTGACCAGAGGAGGGCCAGGCAGATACACCAGAGCTGGAGAAACAGCTGCAGGTATGGCCTGGATTCTGGCACCGCTGGGCCAGCCCTGCCCTGACTCAGCCTCCTCCCCAGACATGAAACCATCTTCCCATGAGGCCTCCCTTCCTCTGGCCTCAGCTGAGAGGGGCTGGATGTGAACTGAAAGTTTCCCCTCGTGGTGTTTTTCGCAGCCAGACCAGGGCCTAGCAGCACGGCTCGCTGAATCTCTGACACCGTCACCCTGAGCTATAAGGATCCTTCGCTGCCACCACCCCTACCAGGAGGAGCCCCCTGAAGTCACCTGAAACTGCATTTGGGAGCATCACCGGAAATCAGCTGGGAGATACAGTAAATAGGTTATGAGATGCAGGGGCCACAGGGCTGGGCCGGGGCAGCCAGCCCAGAGGGAGATGGAGAGATCCCATCTCTGCCAAGCCTCTGGAGGGGGTGGGGGTGGAGCTGGGGGGAGCAGTTTTGGTCCCAAGGTAAAGTGCACAAGAATAAAACCCAATAAGCCCTGGCCGGTTTGGCTCCATGGATAGAGCGTCGGCCTGTGGAATGAAGGGTCCCAGGTTTGAGTCCGGTCTAGGGCACATGCCCAGGTTGTGGGCTCAATCCCCAGTGGGGGGCGTGCAGGAGGCAGCCAATCAATGATTCTCTCTCATCATTGATGTTTCTGTCTCTCTCTCCCTCTTCCTTCCTCTCTGAAATTAATTAAAAATATATATATATTTTTAAAAAAAGACCCAATAAGAGGTGAGGTGGGGTGAGTTTGCAAAAGAGGCCCCAGACGTGCCCAGGCCCCAGTCGCTGGCACATTCACATTATGGCGGAAGTAACGCAAAAATACCTGACCCTCCAACACCACCGCAGCCCTTCCCTCTGCTGCTCTTCCATGCGTGTCGCTGCCTCTCCCCTTCCTGACGGGCAGTGGGTGGGCTGCTCCTTGGGAGAGTGGGGGCCCTAGGGCTGCACCCTGCAGAGCTGGCTGGGAGGTGAGGGCAGCAGCGGCTTCTGGTGGGAGGTCTGGGGCCAGTGCCTGTAGGAGACCCACCTCGCCACAACTCCCCCGCCCCAAGGGGAGCAGAGCCTATGGCCAGGCCTCCGCTGCCCGGCACTGCCTTTCCCTGCACGTACCTGTCCACCTCCAGCCACGTCTCCCCAGGCGGAGTCAGGCACCAGGGCAGGGGAGCCCTGAGGCTGCATGTTGAAGGCTCATTCCAGTTGGGACCAGGTGAGAGGTACCTTGAGACCCATGCGTCCTCTTTTTGGGGCCTTTCAGACGAGAGATTACCCTGTTCACCCCACCCAAGCCCTGATTTCCTCTGCAGAGCTTTCCCCTTTCCTGGCCCGAACTGGAAGGGAGGCGGCAGCCGGCAGCCAGGGGCCTCAGAGGCCAGTGCAGGCTGAGAGGCGGCAGGTGGGTGTGGCTCCCCACTCCAGCCCAGGCATCCATACTACCTCCTCCTTCACAACTGTAAAGTGTTTGGCAAAGGCCCAGTGCTCCCAGGAGGTGGGGTCACATACAGAACAGCAGAGTCCGGGTCCTGAGGCCAACTGCTGGCCATGCCCACAGGGACCTGCCCCTTTCCCAGTCCAGTGTCCATGTTGGGATGACCAGCATCTGAACGGGACAGGCAAAGACGGGATCTAGCTGGAGGAGCAGGCGGGAATCCCTTGATCCAGTCCTCGGGCTCCAGACATGGGGGTGGAGGCTCAGAGAAGGAAGTGGGCTTGTCCAAGGTTACGTCGCCGGCCAGAGCCAGCGCCTGCTTTGATTCCCGGGTTGATGCTTCCTCTCCAATAGGTGCCTAGAGATCTGGCCTTTGTACTCTCGGACACGGGGCCCTCCTGCTCAGTGGCAGTCAGCCTGGCTCCAGCCCCACACTCGGCCCTAATGCCCAGCTTCCAGCCTGGCGCCAGGGAGGAAGATCTTCCTGCAAAGGCCGGGCTGCATGCCCCCGGCTCCTGCCCAACATCATTCCTTCTTGGGGCTTCCTGCCTGGAGCTGGGGTCATCTCCGGGGCCTCCCATATATCAGGGCTCCATGAAGGGTGATGCCAGCCCGTGTGCCACTGGGCTTCATGTAGAGGAATCGGTTCTGCAGGTGTGGCCTGGATCTTGAAGGCCGGCCACACTCTGAGCCAGCTGCCCATGGAACCTTCCAGAGACTTCCAGTGCTCCTTGATTTCCTGGGCCACCTCCTGAGGACCTTAGTCATAGCTGGCTCATCCGGCGAGGTGTAGACTGCCTCCCCTCCCTTCCCTACCCCTGAACACCCAGGGAGACGTCGGTCTTGGCCACAGCAATATCTTAAATCTACCAGCCCCACCACCAAGCCAGCCAACTCGCCGCAGGCCTACCCCTACTCCCACCACCAGACCACCTGCTAGCAGCATCTGGGCAGCTGCAACCAAGGCTTGATTCTGATAAAAAATAAAAATAAAAAGTATAAAAGGATCCTAATTCTACCCTGTGGGCACTCTACAATTTTTCAGCTTCACACATAATTGTGCTGAGTAGAGTTTTGGCAACCCCACGTAAGGCCCAGAAATGCACTTGATTATTTTTATAGGAAATGTGTCAGAATTCCTCTCCCTTATGTTAACAGGTGAATAGATTAGTCTCCCTACCACTGTGGATGGAGACCCCCCAACCCCCAGGTGGTCCAGGACTGGTGGGGCCAGCTTGCCCTCCCTGCAGGCACTACTCACGAGACCCCTGCCCCGCCCCCAGCTCCCCAGGCTGGACAAGGCTGCATCCCCAGGCCAGCCGGCCACCACTCACAGCCCCTTGTTGTACACCACTGTCCGGCTGCTGGTGGCCCGGGCAATCTCAGGCTCTAACTGGGATGTTTCGATCTGAGGAGAGAGAACAGAGGGAGGAAAGGTGAGGAGGGTGAGAGGGGAGGGGTGAGTGGGGAGGCTGGGAGTAGCAGTTAGGACTGCTCTGGAGCCCACAGTTGCCCCTGGCACCCCATCTTTAATTTTTTCTGCCCTCCTGCCAAGGGGCTCACAGTATCCCTTCCTGCCCAGGCCTCTTCCTCGGACCATGTGTCCATGCAGGTGAGCATCCTATGCTCTGGCCTCTGAGTTCTGTATTTCTCTCCAATACCTTGTCCATTGTGCTGCACAAATCCCTTCTCAGGGCCACACCCTGGACCTGGTCACCAAGCAGGGCTGCTCTACCCAAACTCCTTAAATCCAAACCCTACTCTCTCAGACCCCAATCATTCCAGCATCCCACTCACTCTCCCTGTCTGTTTTCTTTTAATATATATTTTTATTGATTTCAGAGAGGAAGGGAGAGGGAGAGAGAGAGAAAAACATCAATGATGAGAGACAATCATTGATCGGCTGCCTCCTGCACATCCCCTACCAGGGGTTGAGCCCACAACCCGGGCATGTGCCCTGACTGGGAATCGAACCATGACCTCCTGATTCATAGGCCGATGCTTACCCCTGAACCAGGCCAGCCAGGCTCCCTGTCTGTTTTTAGACCACCGAGACCTCAGGGCTCAGCTTCCCATTCTCCTCCTCTAACCTGGTCGTGAAGGGCTATCACTTCAGCCCCAGGTCCTTCCAGCCCTGACTGGCTTTGGAGAAAACCCATCATGCAGTCTCCTTGTCTCCACTTGAACCTGACCACCTAATGGAGACATTCAACATTCAGGGTCCTTGACTTTGGCCGGATCCTCACAGTAGCCAACCTCACCCCCTGGCCACATCGCCAGTCACCTCGCTCTCCCATTCTCCACAGAGGCCTCCTCATCCTCAGCTGCCCCTCGCCCTGAGCAGATGAGCCTCCTCACTACTTCAGGGAAAACAACAGAAGGCGTCAGAAGGAACCCATTCATGTCCCATCTCCCATTGGTGTCCACACTCTGCTCCACACCTGCCCTCCTGCTACCCCACCCTCCCCTCAGAGGTGTTCCCATAAGCCCAGCTCCCCCGTCCCCTCCAGGAGCCCACTCCTGGGCTGCCCTCCCTCTTCCCCACCTTTCTCTGGCTGACTCCTGCCCTCCAGCATTTCCACACAGACCAGCACCTTCTGTCTAAGAAAGACCTCCCCTCAACCCCACGTCACAGTGTAGCTTCTGCCCGGCGTCTCTCCTCCCAGCAACCACATTCCTTTAAGGCACTACCTACAGCCGTAGCCGCCTCCACCTCCTCACCTCCCGCCGGCTTTTCAACCCCCAGGAAACCTGGCTTCCGTCCCCACCACGTTCCACAAAAAATCTTTCTCCCCAAGGTCACTGCTAACCCCCCTTTTTTGTGTGTGACATCCACTGGACACTGTTCAGGGTCCCTGGTTGGGCTCTCTTCCCTGCACACACAGCCTTCTCTGTGACTCCCAGATTTGAGGAGTCTCCAGCCACATTTCCCCCCTGAGTCTTGGGCCCACAACGGACTGCTTACTGAACATTCCTGTGATGTCTCCTGGGCACCTTAACGGAACCTATCTAAAATGGAACTGAATCCACCCCTGCCCCAATCCAGCCCGCCATGCTGCCACCTAAAGGTGCTCTGGCCGGACACCCTGGGGCCCAGGCACAGGGTGCCACAGACCAGCGCTGGCTGCAAAGAACTCGGTGGAACACAGGCTGCGCATGTCAGAGGCCAGCCAAGAGGGGGCTTGATGTGGACTAGGGTGGTGGGCATAGCAGTTTCTGGAGAAGGGGAACCCTTCCCCTGTAGTCCCGGGTACGCCAATACCCAGGCTCTGGCCATCTGAGAGGGCCAAAGAGACAAGAGCTAGGCTCAAGGCCTGGGCCTCTTCCCCGCCCCCTCGCCTCAAACCACCTCCCCGTCCCCACCCCTGCTGGCCTCTGAGTTCCCTCCACTCCACCCGCTCGCCTCGTCCCCACGCTGCCACTGACACAATGCACAGCGCCCACGCTTAAAAATCTAAATGCTTTTGAAAATGTTTAACCTAGTTAGACAAATTAGCAAAAATTTGTGCAAAACAATTTAGGTATTTAAAATATTCAATGTTTTTAAAAAACTGGAAAACTGTTCTTAGCTTTCAGCTGCAAAAACCAACAAAATATAACATCCCAGCAATCTTACCATGAGGTGTAACATAACCCTTCGGGAAAGCTGTTAAACAGCTACTGAGGCATCCTGGGAAATAGCACTTCATTTATTCAAATGCACATATGTCAGGCTTTTGCACCATATGTCATTCCAAGCTATTTACAGTAATAATTAAATCTTAATCAACGTTTAACCTCTGTAAAATGTTTGAAGAATCCTAATCACCCTTCAGACTGCACTAATGAAGGAGAAATATATAAACATAAAAGGAAAATGATGCATAGATATCACGCTGGAAAGAACAGTAATTGCAAAATTGTATTTCTTTTAAATATAATCAGTAAATGATGTAAAGTAAGCCAAGGAGTATTTTAAGTTAAGACATCTTGGATGTCAGAGGTGTGAGCAGCTAATTTTGTTCTGCTACCCATAACAGATGTAGCATATTTTATTTTAGTGCCATTATTAGCAACTTCCCATGCCGGCTTTCACTGAAGCACCAAGGCCCGCATGAAAATCGGAGGGAGAGGCTGCTGCTCACCACCACAGTGGAGGGCCACGGGCCAGGGCCACGGCCACTCGGCTCACTCCCTGGAGAGGGCTGGCCCGGTGACCCTCCCAGTGGAGGCTGTCACAGACCCAGGACCCCCAGGCTCCCCCAGGCTCCTCACTGTGCTGAGGGCAGCTGGTGGGAGGGACGCAGGGGCGAGATGCAGGCAGTGGGAAGGTCCTAGAGGGGAGGTGACTGGGGCACCCAGGAGCAGGGGCTTGGGGACAGAGCTGGCATGCACGGCTCTTTCTCACATTTCAACTCCATCAGCCTTCAAGCCAGCAGATGTGTATGGCTGCCAACTCCATCCACCAAGGCTGGGCACACAGAGATGGAGAAGATCAGCCCCTTGCCCTTGAGGAGCTCCAAGCCTAGGGGAGGAGCAGATAGGAAAGCAGATGGATCCCAGAGAGAAAAGTGCCATGGAAACTGGGGAGGGGGCGGAGTCAGCATGGACTAGTGGAAGAGCAGGGAAGGAGGACTTCTCAGAGGAGGTGGGCCAGGAGGGGAAGGGAGGATTTTGAGGAGAGGGCAAGAAAAACCTGCTGGGAGAAGGAAAAGCACTCCCGGGCCAGCACGGCCTGCTGGCGGTGGGCAGTGTTGGGCATGCGGGGTATGTGGCAAGAAATGGAGGTGGGGCTGGGACAGGCAGGCGCTCGAAGCCCCGGCCAGGCGGAGGTGTCAGCATTTCACCTGAGGGCAACCAGGCACCGGGGAAGAGTCTGGGCAGGGGGGGCTCCCCTTTAGAAAGGTCTCCCTGGTGGCGGAGGGTGTGGGGCACGGACCGGAGGAGTGGGCGGCAGTTGTGGGAATCTGAGAGGTGCCAGGCCCTGCCCTAAGACGCTGCCACCGTGGCTGAGAGAAGAGCGCCCGCGGGGATCCTTTCCGAGGATGAAACCCATAGGAGTTGATGACCAATCCCGTGTGGGGGTAAGAGGGAGGTGTCGAGAATGACTGTGCGTTGGATGATTCCTAATTCTAACTCAGGAGCTGGGTGGCTGGCTGTGCCGTTCTCAGAGGCAGGGAACACGGGAGTGGGAGGGGGTGGGTCAGGGTGGGAGGTGATGGGCTCAGGTTCAGCCATGATGAGCCTCCCAGCCAGACAGGCCGGAGAAGCAGGCAGGTCCCCGGCTCTGGGGCTCTGGCCAGGGGTCTGGGCAGGAGGACGAGCCGGGACGTGAGCACAGCCGGAGCCCCGGAGTGGAGGAGCTTGCCCAGGAGAGCAGATGGCAGGGGAGGGTGCCAGGCCTGGGGAACAGGCACATTCGAGGGGCGGGCGTAGGGAACAAGCCCGTGATGGCGGCCTGAGGGGACCAGCCCAAGGAGTGGAAGCAACGGCAGAGGGTGCCACAGACACCAGGCTGAGAGGCTGTGGTCTTGGCACTGGGATTTGGTGACCCCCGGAGTCCAGATGTCCTAACCTTCACTCAGTGCTGACCCCAGGCACAGCCTCTCACTTCTGTCCTGGGCCAACTCCACTGGCCATTGGTGAAGACCCCTCCCGCTCTCTGGCCACAGTGGGGGGTTGGCTCAATGGCCCCCCATCTTGAGGTCTCATGCATCTGGACCACTAGGATTCCTCCGCGCTGGGCTAGCGAGGGAGGCTGGGGCAGGGGCGCCTGGGCTGTACCCTGCCTTGAAGATCACCTGCCTTGGGTATGGGGGGCTGTGTCCTCCATGGAAATCATACCCCGGGCCCTGCTAGTAAATAATGTGATTCAGGACCTGGGTGAGGGCAGTGGAGCCCTACCCCCCTCCGGAGTCCCCGAGGCAGGGACAGAGAGTTGTGCTGTGCTCTTGGAGTCCCCTGCCGTTTGGGGGACTGGTGGGTAAGACGCGGAAGCCGGCCGTATGTGCCACGTCAGAAGTACAATGAACGGCATGTGGCTACAGTGGCTCCCAGGCAGGTGTGGTGGGAGGGAGGTGCCAGGGCCCAGTGGGAGCAGTGGGCACAGCAAGGCAGGGCCAGCAGCACCAGCTGAGTAAAAGCTAGAGCCCCAGGACAGGGGCCTTGGTTCTGACCACAGAAGAGCTCCGAGGGGCACCTCTGGGAAGAGGGTGACAAGGAGAAAAGTGGCCACAGGGAGAAGATCTAGTCCCAGGCTGCCAGGTGGGGGTAGGCGGCACCTTAGGGCCCCTCTGTTCATCTGGTGGACTCCTCCCCAGACACCTGCTGGCCAGTCAGCAGGGGCCCTTGAGGGAAGGGGGTGCCTGGGATGGGGAGCCAGAGCCCTGGAGGGTGGGGGCCGCAGGCACCAGCAAGAAAGCTGAAGTT